CGTTCCAGATATGCATCTTCCCGTTACTCTTTATTGTGATAACAGTGGAGCAGTTGCAAATTCAAAAGAACCAAGAAGCCATAAGCGAGGAAAACATATTGAGCGCAATTATCATCTCATAAGGGAGATTGTGCAACGAGGAGATGTGATCATCACACAGATAGCTTCAGAGCACAACATTGCTGGTCCATTTACAAAGCCCCTCACGGCTAAAGTGTTTGAAGGGCACCTAGTGAGTCTAGGATTACGAGTTATGTAATCTAGGGCAAGTGGGAGAAAAGGCATGAGTATGTAATGCCCTAGTTCATTGTATTTATGTCTTTCTCTCTACTCAACGTTATAAAACTTCACTAGAGTTTTAGTCCAAGTGGGAGTTTGTTGGGTTTTATGTCCTAAAACTCATAGTTTGTAAACAAAACATATTCTATTTTCAAAAAAGTTATTATTGTTGTTTATTCAGTAAAGATTGTTATTGAATAAAGTGAATTTTACAGATCATTAATCTAAATTCAATAAACTAAGAACACTCTGGCTATAGTATGATTACTTGAACTATATGTAGAGACATAACAGTTGATCAAGTTCAAGTATATAGTCAAAATGATCTATAGTATAAAGATAAGGCTGAGTACTTTATTCTAGGGACATTATGGATGCGGCCCACTTTTGTATATGATATAAATAATGTGATCACTAAATTGTACATGTGGAGACATGTGAGTGGGGGCGTCCTATGCAATGAGTATTGCATAAGATTGGACCATGAAGAAAATCACTCTCACTTTATAATGTCATTTACTGTTGAGACTAATTTTCTTTTCATTCGATAACCTAGGTAACTCGATCTTAATTCTGAGCTAACCAAGAACTCTTGTTTATTCAGAATTATCCTTAGATTTGCATGAGTGAGAGCGGCTCAAGTTCGCCGACTCAATTGGTCTCCCATTTCAGGGGTAAGACTGGGTAAATGGCTGGGGAAGTAGGGGATCAGTGAGACATAAGAAACAAGAAGTAACTTCAGGGGTAAAACGGTAAATTGACCCAGCTCTAGTTACGAACAACCTGTGAAGGATCGACTTACTAATCATGATTATATCAAATGAACAGAAATATATCTATAGTGAGGGGAGTGCAACTACTAAGCTATAGTGGAATGTTCTTGTAGTTAACAGATATTGGTTAACAAGATTAATGAGTTTAACAGGTTAATCTTGGATCGTTGGATCCCATGATCTATAGGTCCATTAGGTTCCTCTGCTAGCTCATATCGAACTAAACCATAGAACAATATGATTAGTGAGTTCGAAGTGTTCGAATTCAAATTAGGGAGAATGCGCTACATATATACGATATATTTAACTGCATTTTTGTTTTATTTACGAATTAAACAAAAAGAGAGAATCTGATATATTTAAATAAGATTTAAATATCTCAATCAAATATGTGTCGGAATTAATTGGGATTGGCACTCAAATTGATTGTTGAATCAAAATGAAGAAAGTCAAAATGTTGACTTCATTTAATCGAAAAATCCATGTAGTGGAAATTTGAGGTGTCAAAATTTAGTTTAACCAAACTTGCATGCTTGCCAAATAAACCCCACAAATTTGAGTGGAATTTTGAGTGTCAAAATTTGGTTAACTCAAGCATGCATGCTTGCCACATAATCCCAAACATTTGAGTGAAATTTTGAGTGTCAAAATTTGGTGATCTCAAATTTGCATGAACATGCAAGCATGACTTTATAAATAGAGTGATCATAATACATGAAAGGTCTTCTTCTTAGTGAAAACCCTTGAGAAAAACCTCTCACAAACACTCTCTTCATATATACAAAATCCCTCCCAAGTTTAGTCACTCACCAGATTCCACAATTCCGTTCTAAGGCCGGAGGATAATGGAGAAGACACTAGTGGTGGTTCGAAACCGGCTCAAGAGGAAAAAGAAATTTGAACTACAAAAGGTTAATATTCAAATTCATTAAGTTTAAATACTTATGAACATGCTAGTTATTTACTATAATTGATATTCTAAAAGTGTCTAAGATCCAAATTACTTCTGCATGTGTTATATTAACACCATCAAGTTCGCCACTAACTATAGCAGCACCATCTACAAGTCACAAGACAACGAACAAATGACCGCATAGCGTAGTGGATTAGCGCGTCTGACTTTGGATTAGAAGCTCGTGGGTTCGACTCCTGGTTGTCGGTCTTCTTTCTTTTCAATCACTTATTTTTTTATTTATCGTTTGTTGATTTATTACGCAAGTTCGCACCTAACTGTAGCAGCACTATCTACGAGTCTGAAATAATGAACAAATGATCGCATAGTGCAGTGGATTAGTGAGTCTGATTTTGGATTAGAAGGTTGTGGGTTTGACTCCCACTGTGGTCGTGGGTCTTCTTTCTTTTCAATCACCTAATTTTATTTATCGATTGTCGATTAATTACGCAAGTTCGCCACTAACTATAGAAGCACCATTTGCGAGTCACAAGATAAGAAACAAATGATTGCATAGTGTAGTGGATTAGTGTGTCTAACTTTGAATCAGAAGGTTTTGGGTTTAACTCTCATTATGGTCGTTAGTCTTAGCACCATCTGCGAGTCACGAGATGGCAAACAAACGACCGCATAGTGTAAAGGATTAGTGCGTCCGACTTCGGATCAGAAGGTCATGGGTTTGACTCCCACTGCTGTTGTCAGACTTCTTTCTTGTCAATCACTTATTTTTATCTATCTTTGTCAATTAATTACGCAAGTTCGCCACTAACTGTAGCTCAATCACTTATTTTTATTTATCGTTTGTCGATTAATTATGCAAGTTTGCCACTAACTGTAGCAGCACTATCTGCAAGTCACAAGATGATGAACAAATGACTGCATAGTGTAATGGATTAGTGTGTTTGATTTTGGATTAGAAGGTTGTGGGTTCAACTTACATTGTAGTCATTGGTTTTCTTTCTTTTCTTTCACTTATTTTCATTTATCTTTGTCGATTAATTATGCAAGTTCGCCACTAACTGTAGTAGCACCATCTGCGAGTCACGAGACAACAAACAAATGACCGCATAGCGTAGTGGATTAGTGCATCTGACTTTGGATCAAAAGGTCGTGGCTTCAACTTCCATTATGGTCGATGATGTTCCTATTAATTATGCAAGTTCAGCACTAGCGGTAGAAACACCATTTGCAAGTCACTTAGTGAAGAACAATTGAACGTGTTATAGCGTTTATTTCCTTTTTTATTCACTTATTTTTATTTATCGTTGTCGATTAATTATGTAAGTTCGCAACTAACTGTAGCAGCACTGCTTGCGAGTCACAAGATGACGAACAAATGACCACACAGCGCAATGGATTAGCGCCTCTGATTTCGAATCAGAAGTTTGTGGATTCGGCTCCCATTGTGGTCGTTGGTCTTCTTTCTTTTCTATGACTTATTTTTATTTATCGTTTATCGATTAATTACGCAAGTTCGCCACTAACTATAGCAGCACCATCTGCGAGTTACAAGATGATGAACAAATGATCGCGTAGCACAGTGGATTAGTGTGTCTGACTATGTATTAGAAGGTGCAACTTTGTAGCTAACTATAGCACCACTATCTGCGAGCTACAAACCAACAAACAAATGATTGTATAGCATAGTGGTTAAGCATGTCTGACTTCAAATTAGAAGGTTATGGGTTTGACTCACACTGTGGTCGTCGGTATTCTTTCTTTTTAGTCATTTATTTTCATTTATCTTTGTCGATTAATTATGCAAGTTCACCACTAGCTGTAGAAACACCCATCTGCAAGTCACGAGATGAAGAACAATTGACTGATCAGATGGTCTTGGTCTTCTTCCTTCTTTATTCACTTATTTTTATTTATTTGTCGAATAATTACGCAAGTTCGAAACTAACTATAGCACCATCATCTGCGAGCCGCAAAACAATGAACAAATGACCGCATAGCGCAGTGGATTAGCGCTTTTGACTTTGAATTCATGGGTTCGACTCCCACCGCCACTAACAATAGCAGCACCATCTGTCAGTCACGAGACAACGAACGACCGCATAGCGTAATGGATTAGTGCTTTTAACTTAGTATCGAAAGGTCGTGGGTTTTACTCCCGATGATGTTCCTATTAATTTTGCAAGTTCAGCACTAGTTGTAGAAGCACCATCTACAAGTCACGAGATCAAGTTCTTCTATTTTTATTCACTTATTTGTCGATTAATTACTCAAGTTTGGCACTAATTATAGCAGCACTCTCTGCAAGTCACGAGATGACAAACAAATGACCGCAAAGTGCAGTGGATTAGAGCGTCTGACTTCGCATCAAATGGTTGTGGGTTTGACTCCCATTGTGGTCTGGTCGTTGGTCTCTTCTTTCTTTTCAATCACTTATTTTTATTTATCGTTTGTCAATTAATTACGCAAGTTCGTCACTAACTGTAGCAGCATTGTCTACAAGTTACGAGATGATGAACCAATGATCGCATAGCGTAGTGGATTAGCGCGTCTGACTTTGTATTAAAAGGTCGTTGGTTCAATCACTTATTTTTATTTATCGTTAACTGTAGCAGCACCATCTGCGAGTCACGAGACGACGAAATAATGACTGCATAGCGCAATGGATTAACGCGTCTGACTTCGGATTAGAAGGTCGTGGGTTTGACTTCCATTGTAGTCGATGATGTTCCTATTAATTATGCAAGTTCACCACTAGCTGTAGAAACACTATCTGCAAGTCACGAGATGAAGAACAATTGACCACATAGCCACTAAGCTGTAGAAACACCATCTCCAAGTCACGAGATGAAGAACAATTGACCACATAGCGCAATTTATTAGTGTTTCTGACTTCGGATCAGATGGTCGTGGACTCCCACTATGGTCGGTCTTCTTCCTTTTTTATTCACTTATTTTTATTTATTTTTCGATTAATTATGCAAGTTCGCAAATAACTGTAGCACCACCATCCGCGAGCCGCGAGACAACAAGGAAATGACCGCATAACGCAGTGTATTAGCACGTCTGACTTTGGATTAGAAGGTTGTGGGTTCGACTCCCACTGTGGTCGTTCGGTCTTCTTTTTTTGAATCACTTATTTTTATTTATCGTTTATCGATTAATTACGCAAGTTCGCCACTAACTATAGCAGCACCATCTGCGAGTTACGAGATGACAAACAAATGACCGCATAGCGTAGTGGATTAGCTTGTCTAACTGTGGATTAAAATGTCCTGGGTTCGACTCCCATTGTGGTCTATGATTTTCATATTAAATATGCAAGTTCACCACTAGTTGAAGCACCATCTTCTCAAGGTCACAAGAGGGAAGAACAAGAAGAACAATTGATTAGCTTGTCGTTGGACTTTGGATTAGAAGGTAGTGAATTTGACTCCCACCATGTTCGTCCAGTCTTCTTCCTTTTTTATTCACTTATTTTTATTTATCGTTTGTCAATTTATTATGCAAGTTCGCCACTAACTATGGCAGCACTATCTACGAGTCATGAAATGACAAACAGATGATTACATAGCGCAATGGATTAGCAAGTCTTATTTTGAATTAGAAGGTCATGAGTTTGACTCCCATTGCTGTCGTGGGTTTTCTTTCTTTTCAATCACCTATTTTTCTTTATCGATTTTCGATTAATTACGCAAGTTCGCCACTAACTGAAGCATCTTTCTTCCTCGAACAATGGTTGTTTCAAGAGCTTTGTGAATAGGTCTGCGATTTGTTCATCACTTCGGCAAACGTTGAGTTCAATAATGCCTTCTTTACACAAATCACGCAAGAAATGAAATCGAACATCGATGTGCTTGCTCCTTCCATGCAACACAGGATTTTTAGACAACTTAATAGTTGACATATTATCACAATATATAATCGTCGTACTTGGTTGCTTCTGATTAAGAATTTCAAGCATTTTTCTTAACCAAATTGCTTGGCACGAGCATGCTGCTGCTGCCACAAATTCTGCTTCTGTCGTTGAGAGTGTTACAATAGGTTGCTTCTTTGAAGACCAGCAAATAGCTCCTGAACTCATCAAGAAAATACTTCCTGAAGTACTTTTACGATCGTCTATATCACCTGCATAGTCGCTATCTGTATAGCCAACTATCTTCGGATCATCTCCTTTTTTGTAGAATACCCCCAAATCATGCGAGTCATGCAATGATGAATAAATGACTGATAGCGCAGTGGATTAGTGCATCTGACTTCGGATTAGAAGGTATCTTTATTCTTGTCATTCACTTATTTTTATTTATCGTTTGCCGATTAATTACACAAGTTTATCACGAGATTATGAACAAATGATCGCATAGCGTAGTGGATTAGCGCGATTTTGGATCCGATGATGAAAAAATGACCACATAGTGCAGTGTATTTTTCGATTAATTACGCAAGTTCGCAAATAAATGTAGCACCACCATCCGCGAGCTGCGAGACGATGAACAAATGACCGCATAGCGCAGTGTATTAGCGCGTCTCACTTCGGATTAGAAAGGTCATAGGTTTGACTCCCATTGTGGTCGTCGATCTTTTTTCTTTTCAATCACTTATTTTTATTTATCGTTTGTCGATTAATTACGAGATGATGAAAAAATGACCACATAGCGTAGTGGAGTAGCGCGTATAACGGTCCTAAGGTAGCAAAATAATAGGGGTCAAGGTCGGCCAGTGAGACGATGGGGGATAAGCTTCATCGTCGAGAGGGAAACAGCCCGGATCACCAGCTAAGTCCCCTAAATGACTGCTCGGTGATAAAGGAGGTAGGGGTGCAGAGATAGCCAGGAGGTTTGCCTAGAAGCAGCCACCCTTGAAAGAGTGCGTAATAGCTCACTGATCGAGCGCTCTTGCACCATCAGGCCGAAAGGCGTAGTCGATGAACAACAGATGAATATTCCTGTACTACCCCTTGTTGGTCCCGAGGGACGGAGGAGGCTAGGTTAGCCGAAAGATGGTTATTGGTTCAAGGACACAAGGTGCCCCTGTTTTTTCAGGGTAAGAAGGGGTAGAGAAAATACCTCGAGCCAATGTTCGAGTACCAGGCGCTACGGCGCTGAAGTAACCTATACCATACTCCCAAAAAAAGCTCGAACGACCTTCAACAAAAGGGTACCTGTACCCGAAACCGACACAGGTGGGTAGGTAGAGAATACCTAGGACCTAGGGGCGAGACAACTCTCTCTAAGGAACTCGACAAAATAGCCCCGTAACTTCGGGAGAAGGGGTGCTTCCTCACAAATGGGGTCGTAGTGACCAAGCCCGGGCGACTGTTTACCAAAAACACAGGTCTCCACAAAGTCGTAAGACCATGTATGAGGGCTGACGCCTGCCTAGTGCCGGAAGGTCAAGGAAGTTGGTGACTTGATGACAGGGGAGCCGGCGACCGAAGCCCCGGTGAACGGCGGCCGTAACTATAACGGTCTTAAGGTAGCAAAACTTTGGATCAAATGGTCATGGGTTTGACTCCTATTGTGGTCGTTGGTCTTCTTTCTTTTCAATCAATTATTTTTATTTATCGTTTGTCGATTAATTACGCAAGTTCGGCACTAATTGTAACAGCACTCGAGTCACGAGATGACAAACAAATGACCGCATAGCGCAGTAGATTAGCACGTTTGACTTTGGATCAATAGGTTGTGGGTTCAATTCCCATTGTTGTCAAGTTCGCCACTAATTGTAGCAGCACTATCTGCGAGTCACGAGATAACAAACAAATGATCGCATAACGTAGTGGATTAGTGTGTTTGACTTCGGATTAAGAAGGCCATGGGTTCAACTCCCACTATGGTCGTTGGTCGTCTTTCTTTTCAGTCACTTATTTTTGTTTATCGTTTTTCGATTAATTACACAAGTTCGCCACTAATTGTAGCAGCACCATCTGCGAATTACGAGATGATGAACAATTGATCGCATAGCGTAGTTGATTTAGTGGCGTTTGATTTTGGATCAGAAGGTCTTGGTTTTGACTCCCACTATGGTTGGTTTTCTTCCTTTTTTATTCACTTATTTTTATTTATCTTTGTCCTCCCATTGTGGGCTATGATGTGCAATACTCGAGATGAAAAACAATTGATTGCATAGCTCAGTTGATTAGTGCGTTTGACTTTGGATCAGAAGGTCTTGGTTTTGACTCCCACTATGGTAGGTCTTCTTTCTTTTTTTTATTCAGTTATTTTTATTTATCTTTGTCGATTAATTACGCAAGTTCGCCACTAACTGTAGCAGTACTGTCTGCAAGTCACAAGATGACAAACAAATGACCGCATAGTGCAGTGGATTAGCGTGTTTGACTTAGGATCAGAAGGTCGTGGGTTTGACTCCTACTGTGGTCGTTGATCTTTTTTCTTTTTAATCACTTATTTTTATTTATCGTTTTTCGATTAATTACGCAAGTTCGCCACTAACTATAGCAGCACCATCTGCGAGTTACAAGACAACAAATGAATGATTGCATAGCACAGTGGATTAGCGCGTCTGACTTTGGAGTAGAAGGTCGTGGGTTCAATTTTGATTGTGGTCGATATGATGATCCTTTTAATATTAAGCAAGTTCTCCACTAGCTGTAGAAGCACCATTCTGCAAGTCACAAGACAACGATCGAATAGCGCAGTTTACTTCGGATCAGAAGGTCTTGGTTTTGACTCACAAGACAACGATCGAATAGCGCAGTTTACTTCGGATCAGAAGGTCTTGGTTTTGACTCCCAGTATGGTCGGTCTTCTTTTTTTATTCACTTATTTAAGGTCTTGTTTTTTACTCCCAGTATGGTCGGTCTTCTTCTTTTTTTATTCACTTATTTAAGGTCTTGGTTTTGACTCCCAGTATGGTCGATCTTCTTCTTTTTTTATTCACTTATTTTTATTTATCATTTGTCGATTCTGTAGCAGCAACGTGTGCGAGTCACGAGACAACAAACGAATGACCGAATAGTGTAGTGGATTAGCGCGTCTGACTTTGGATCAAAAGGTTGTGGTTTTGACTCCCATTGTCGTCAGTCTTCTTCCTTTTTGTATTCACTTATTTTTATTTATCGATCGATTAATTACGCAAGTTAGCCACTAACTGTAGCAGCACCATCCGCGAGTCACAAGACCACAAACAAATGACTGCATAGCGCAATTGATTAGCGTGTCTGACTTCGGATCAAACGGGTTTGACTCCCACTTTGGTTGGTCTTCTTCCTTTTTATTCATTTATTTTTATTTATCGTTTGTTGATTAATTACGCAAGTTCGCCACTAACTGTAGCAGCACCATGTGCGAGTCACGAGACAATAAACAAATGATTGTATAGTGCAGTGGATTAGCGTGTTTGACTTTAGATTAGAAGGTCTTTGGTTTGATTCCCATTGTGGTCGGTCTTCTTCCTTTTTATTTTTATCGTTTTTCGATTAATTACGCAAGTTCACCACTAACTGTAGCAGCACCATCTGCGAGTCACGAGATGACAAACGAATGATTGCATAGTGCAGTGGATTAGCACATTTGACTTTTGATCAGAACGTCGTAGGTTCAACTCCCACTGTGGTTGATCTTCTTTTTTTTTTTATTCACTTATTTTTATTTATTACTTGTCAATTAATTATACAAGTTCGCCACTGTAGAGTCCTATGGATTAGTGATCTGAAAGTCGTGGTTCGACTCCAATTGAGAGCGATCTTTCTCCTTTTTATTCACATTTCTATTTATCGTTTGCTAATTACTCGCGCGTATAGATGCTATCCCCACTGCGTCTAAATTTCATCGCTCTCCCCTCCCGCTTTCTACCTGCCGTCTTATTTACCGCTTCTTTCTAAAACCCAACAAACAAAATACACAGTTCTTGAAACCTTACTAGGGTTTACCTCTCTTTCTTCCTCCATTTCCACTCACCGTGACTTCTCGTTCGCTACTTTCATTTCCCCTTTCTTCGAGTTTTTTCACATCTGTTATTCGCTCTGATCCTCACTCACCTTTCGCTCTTTCGTTTTACAGAAAATTTCAAGAAATACAACTGAATCAATTGTGTATGAATAACTTGGTGCTAGTACATGTATATTTAGAATTGTAAAATTGAAGCATGATTTGGGAATGCCGTAATGTTATCGTTCATACTAATTCAAACTTTTCGTTCTTGATATATTGCAGCTGGAAAGATCTTGATCCTGTTTGAGGAAAAATGGCCTCGGTTGGACAGCCGCCGTCCTTTAAGAAACGGGAGTTATCCGCGACGAGAGAGGAGGATAAGCTTATTGTAACTCCTCTTGGGGCTGGCACTGAAGTGGGTCGATCCTGCGTTTATATGTCTTACAAAGGCAAAGTTGTTTTGGTACGTTTTTGAACTCCTCATGATTTCCCACTCATTTTCTGGGTAGAACATACAGAACTGTAATTGAATAATTGGTCATTTTTTTTTCCCCGCTTACTTTTCTTGGAGGATAGTTCGATTGTGGAATTCACCCTGCTTACTCTGGCATGGCTGCTTTGCCGTACTTTGATGAGATTGACCCTTCAACAATTGATGTTCTGCTCATTACTCAGTATGTATTTCTTTTTAAAATAGTTATAAAATGCAGCTCTTGGATCGAACTTTGCATTTTAATTGTCTTGTTTACTTCTTCAAAATCAGTGAATGACGGTGGATGGTTTATGCAATTGCATTTGTGAATGGGTGAGGGTCACTGCTTTGAAATCTTTGCCCCTAAAGATGAAAAGCGTTCCCTTCCTGATCACATTTTTGTAGGCACAACTTGTTCAACATTTTGTTTAAAACTCACGTCTCCTTATTAAAATCCATGGCGTTTTTAGCATGGAAAATGCAGATACTCTAATCGTCTCAGCTTTCTTTATTTTCTGCCACCTTTTGTTTGTGTTCTTGTAACTAGGATAATTTTCTGCACACTTACTTTGCAGCTTTCATTTGGATCATGCCGCATCACTCCCTTATTTCTTGGAGAAGGTACCTTGCTTTTAATTGAATTGCAGTTTGATTATTGTTTGAGTACATAAACTAATTTAGCATTAATATGATAGACTACATTCAAAGGACGAGTCTTTATGACTTATGCTACTAAAGCGATCTACAAGTTGTTGCTGTCGGACTTTGTGAAAGTGAGCAAAGTTTCGATTGAAGATATGTTGTTCGACGAGCAGGACATAAATCGTTCCATGGACAAAATTGAGGTAAATGATTTCTCAGAATGGATGTCTATTGGTTTCCTGTTTCATCCATGTCGATAAAATGGATCAAATTTCATTATAGGAAATTTTAGTGATTCTACCAAATTCATGCTTTCTATTGAATCTGCTAGACGTTTTATTATTTGTTAACAGTTTATTAAACGTATTTTCCTCCCTCACTTATAGTTTCCAGAACCAAATATATCAGAACTAGAAGTGGTATTTTGTTGTATTCATGCATTTTTTTCTGATTGTTTTTTGAAATTAACTGATTTATAAATATAATTTGATTTAAATGTTATATTTCTAAAATTAACATGCATAAGAGAAGAAACAAATAGAAACAGAACAACAGAATTACCCTTCTATGGAGTTTTTGAAGTTAAAACAATTGAATTGTAATACAGTTCTAAAATTGCTTTCTGGAAAAATAAAAAGGATATCTGTATGATAATCATTTTACCCACTCTAATGCAGAGTCGTCATATTGATTACATTATTATCAACTTGCATAGGTTTTATCTCTATGCTTACAGGGCAATGATGACAACGGAAATTAGTTTCTCTTATTCAATAACAGTGCACAGTAATTGCAGGTCATTGATTTCCATCAAACAGTAGAAGTAAATGGTATTCGGTTTTGGTGTTACACTGCTGGTCATGTGCTTGGTGCTGCCATGTTTATGGTGGATATTGCTGGCGTCCGAGTCCTCTACACTGGAGACTATTCGCGTGAAGAAGATCGACATCTTCGAGCCGCCGAGATGCCTCAATTTTCTCCTGATGTTTGTATAATCGAATCTACATATGGTGTCCAGCTCCATCAACCTCGACATATTCGAGAGAAGCGCTTCACTGATGTTGTACATTCAACCATTTCTCAAGGTGGTCGTGTGCTGATTCCAGCTTTTGCCCTTGGACGTGCCCAGGAACTCCTCCTTATTCTTGACGAGTACTGGGCGAACCATCCCGAGCTCCATAATGTTCCCATATATTATGCTTCTCCTCTGGCAAAAAGATGTTTGACTGTATACGAGACGTACACGCTCTCCATGAATGATAGGATCCAAAATGCCAAATCAAACCCCTTTAGGTTCAAGTACATATCCCCACTAAAGAGCATTGAAGTTTTCAAAGATGTTGGCCCATCAGTGGTGATGGCCAGCCCTGGTGGACTTCAGAGCGGTTTATCACGACAACTCTTTGACTTGTGGTGTTCTGATAAGAAAAATTCATGTGTGCTTCCTGGTTATGTTGTTGAAGGGACACTGGCTAAGACTATCATCAATGAACCAAAGGAAGTCACCCTCATGAGTGGACTCACAGCTCCTCTTAACATGCAGGTTCATTACATTTCCTTCTCTGCTCATGCTGACTTCGCGCAGACCAGCGCGTTCTTGGAAGAGCTCATGCCGCCCAACATAATTCTCGTGCACGGAGAAGCTAATGAGATGGGGAGGCTCAAACAGAAGCTTATATCCCAGTTTTCTGATCGGAATACAAAGATTCTTACTCCAAAGAATTGTCAGTCTGTTGAAATGTACTTCAACTCTCAGAAGATGGCAAAAACTATTGGAAAATTGGCTGAGAAAACCCCAGAAGTTGGCGAAACTGTCAGCGGTTTACTGGTGAAGAAAGGATTTGCACATCAAATAATGGCACCAGATGATCTACACATCTTCTCTCAGCTATCAACTGCCAACATCAACCAGCGTATTACAATTCCATACTCGAATGCCTTTAATGTGATTGTACGCAGGCTCAAACAGGTATATGAGAGTGTAGAATCTTCAACAGATGAGGAGTCCGGAGTTCCAACGATTCTTGTGCACGATCGTGTGACAGTAAAGCACGAATCAGAGAGGCACATCTCACTTCACTGGACATCAGACCCATTAAGCGACATGGTTTCGGATTCTGTTGTAGCTCTCATCCTGAACATCAACCGCGAGGTACCGAAAGTCATCGTCGAGTCAGAGGCTGTAAAAACGGAAGAAGAGAACAAAAAGAAAGCGGAGAAGGTAACTCATGCCCTCCTTGTTTCACTCTTTGGCAATGTGAAGTTGGGAGGAAATGGGAAGCTGGTGATCAACGTTGATGGGAGTATAGCAGAGCTTGATAAACAGAGTGGGGAGGTTGAAAGTGAAAATGAAGTTCTCAAGGAAAGAGTAAAGACAGCCTTCCGGCGAATCCAATGCGCTGTGAAGCCAATTCCTCCCTCTGCATCTTAGCTCGAGCTTTCTTCCCCCACGCCGAATGAGAGACTATTCTGCCGGGAACAAAAGGTTCAAACCCTTCGACACCCGACGCAGGATCTACAGCTTGTACCCTTTCAATTAATCCATAAGGATCGGATACCCATATTCCCGGAGTCTTTTCTATATCTGGGCTGTACAAGTAGAACTGATCTGTGTTCTTGTAGCTGACTACTGACTATCATCAAATTTAGGGACATAAAAATGTATTTTACAGGTTCAAAAGTTCGAGAAATCCCAAGAATTATTTGAACTTTTTGTTTGTTTGTTTGTTGTTTGTCCACTTGGATTTTGGCGATTGTCTAAAAAAAGTAAGAGAGAGAGAGGTAGAAAAAGTCGTATGACATATCATATATGAATGGTGTTGAGCAAATGACAGCAAAGGCAGCAACTCAGAAACTGGAACTATTGATAATTGAAGATTATTTAATGTTGCCTTTCCTTCATCCTTAATCAATCCCTTCCTCCACGCACCTACTACCCAATCCATTAGAGAGATTGGGAGAGAATGTAAAATCACGCCCTAGGCCCGCATCGGGGAAGAGAGAGAGAGAGAGGACTCGAGGACTTACTTTGCGTCAACTCCTTTCCCCTTCCCATTGCATTTTTCAAGATCTCGGTCTACCGATCAGCATTCTCGGTATGCTCATTGCTCCTCTTTTCTTTAATCTTTCATGAATTTTTGCATTTCCGGGAGCTCTTCAATCATTTTCATTGTAATTTGTGAGAAACTTCAACGTTTTTGCGTTTGCTATTTACGCATTCGCAATCTTGGATCGACTCGGGAATGAGCTGCATTTTGCTTTTTCAGATCATTTGTCTCTGATATTCTAATTTCAGCTATTCTCTTCGTCTCTCTGTCTCTCTGTCTATCTCTCTGATTGCGGATGCAATGCGGGAGGAGAAATTCCAGCGTTGGTATTTTTCTTTTTGAGTTGTTAATTTCTTGAATTTGTGCATTCACAAAGTTTCCTTCTGGTTTTCTAAGAAATTTTTTTAAGGTTCTAACGGACTGCATGTTTGTATTCGACGATCTCATCTCTCTCCTCACATTTCGGATTTCCTTTTTCGTAATCAGCCTGAACTTTCCGTCGCAAAATTATGCAGAATCGAGTCGGATCATTCTAGCTTGCTAATTGTCGGGTTGTATGTTTGTCTATCATCAATTTCTGTGCGCACGGCATTTGCGTCACTGGAAACTTGCATCCATGGAATAAATTGTTAGATCGGGATGAGAGGAGGATGAATATCAACTCCTCTTATAGATCTGCCAAACCCTGCGAAACTTTTTCATTAGTTTTCGTGTTGGTTCCGGAGGAAGGAGTGTCTCCTTCCACGCTTTGGTTCAAGAGCGATTCCTGCATGTGACTTCCAAGATTTCAAATTATTCTCTGCTTTGATGTTGACTTCTTTGATTTTGATAGATATTGTCGCTTTATTTTCTAAACATTATCATAAACTTTGTACGCATGGCTGTTCTTGAAAACAATGCACATGCTGCCAGGATTTCACATTAACCCCCTTCAAGTAACCTGTTAAGCTGTTAACAGTAGTTTCCATCCAGTTCTTCGCCCAAATGGCCTATTCCTACATCGATTTATTTTGTTAAAACAGTAGCTGGTGCTGCAAGAATCTTACTCATGATACTGTTTTGTATGCTTTTTGGCAGAAAACTGCGCAGTTATTGGGCAGTCATGGAGAATTCCAAGGTGTTGTCAAACATGAGAAATGTGATTTACTCTGGAAAGCATGCTCTACTTCCTCCCAAGAGTCCATTTCCTAGTGGTTCCTCCTCATATGCTGATTATTTCCCCAGTCCCATTATTGGGTCAAGAGCTGTGCAGAATCCCAGAGAGGGAAATGTGCATCATCATAGAACATCATCTGAAAGTCTTCTAATGGAGGATCAACCTTCTTGGCTCAATGATCTCCTCGATGAACCTGAAACACCTGTTCAAAGAGGTGGTCATCGACGTTCATCGAGTGACTCCTTTGCATACTTGGATGCAGGAAATGTTTTGAACGAAAATTATACGCAAGATGACTCCCAATGTAAAAATATGTATTTACCTTCCTGGGCATCACAAGATTTTGATTTCCGCAAAGATCCCCATCAAGCTTCTTTCAATATGAAGGCAAGCTCGATCAAACAGAAAAACAGGGCACGGGAATTGCCTCCAACTACATTGACAACTAACCTGGGTTCCCGGCCTTCTGCCAAAAGTAGCATTCTTCTTGAGAGCTCGAGGTCGCTAAGTACACCACAGGAAGCAAATGGGTTCTCATCAACAACTACTGAAAAGCAGGATTCAGCAGAAACCAGTATGCCTGATCGAAAGTCATCTGAGAAAATGGATGGTCCCCATATCAAGCCAGCTCCGGCTGATACGGATAATAAAAGAGCTAAACAGTAAGTTTTGCATTGCTTGATATCTACATTATTGTTATACAAAAGAATCCTCTTTCCCTTCACATAATCTTGAATTCTGTTTTGCAAATCGTGTCTCCCAGATTGCTTCCAATCTATATTTGTTAGTCTTGTACCATCTTTTTACTAGCCTGCTGCTTAGGTTTCCCTGTTGGTCTATGGTTTGCTTTTCCACTGGAATAACTTCATTGTTCTTCTTTGCTAAGGAAATTATACATTCAAGAAGCCAGGATAGAATTGGAGGGTTCTTAAATTTTTCTTGTCGATGCCTGAGAATGCATTGTTATTTCAACCGACCTAGTGAACCCCTTTTGTCTTATTATGTGGATCGTTCGAGTTTTCACATATGACACATTCTTATCACATCTGCATCTTGATTTAATGAGCATAGGAGCACTATGATTAAAATGAAGATCACTAAGTATTAACGTAATCTGAACACCATAATTAGGAATTTCTTAGTTAAGACAAATATAATCTGCATGCGCTCAAATTGCTAGGGAGTTGATTTATTTTTCTAGATTTTCATTTTATGTCACTTTCTTGATAGATTAATCAACCTCTTCTTTCCCACTCCTAATCCTGGGACGTGTGCTCATACAGCAAATTGGGAGAGAATCTCCATTATAAAACTTGCTGATATTGGATGGATATAACATGCCCTTCTGAAGAAATGCTAAATATAACGTGTGCTTATGTTATGCAGAGATGTAATATGTATGTGATTTAACCCGACTTGTTGTGAATACAGGCAATTTGCTCAACGTTCACGTGTACGTAAACTTCAGTACATTGCAGAGCTAGAACGGAACGTACAAGCTTTACAAGCAGAAGGTTCTGAAGTTTCTGCCGAGCTTGAATTTCTCAGTCAGCAAAACTTAATTCTTGGCATGGAGAATAAAGCACTCAAGCAGCGATTAGAAAATTTATCTCAGGAGCAGCTTATAAAATACTGTGAGCTTCCATAACTCTCAAACTTTAGTTTTGACAGTCCGTTCTAATTGTTTACTTTACCTTTTTCCAAAAATGTTGAAATGGTTTTAGATGAAAATTCTTCTCTCAGTCGGTTTTGAACTGAATTTTTAAAAAGAGAAACGTAATTCCTTTAATTTGCTTTATTAATATGACTTGAATGTGACATTATATTTAGTGGAGCATGAAGTGCTGGAGAGGGAGATAGGAAGACTACGAATGTTGTACCAACAGCAACAACAGCCTCAGCCACCACCTTCCAGCCTTAAACGTACCAAGAGCCGAGACCTTGAGACGCAGTTTGCCAAGCTCTCTTTGAGACAGAAGGATGGGCGTTCGGGTCCCGAGTCTATGGTCGGTCCAGTTCAAATCTAGATTTGTAAATCAGTTGGGAGTTTTTGTGCATGGCCTAACGATTTCTCCGATGTACGAAACCATGTTTGTCGATTACTTGTGCAGGATACCCAGGGCTCATCAAAAGTCAGTCTGTACTCAGCATATGACTATGGTGGCTCTTGGTAGATGTGAATGAGAATCTGCCAATGCACCTGGCTGTCATGGCTGGAAAATGTCCTCTTTTGGGCTGGTGACTTGCTGGTGGTGATATCTATTTTCTAAGCATGGTCTCCTTTGGTTTTTTTATCAGGATGTAATGAAAATTCTAGTAGGTGTTTTTCAAGTCCCCCATTCCTCTTGGGGGGCTCTCTTTTTTTTCCCCCTAAATCAAATGCCAATGCATCCAGAGTATTAGGTGTTGCGGGCATGAATGGTACTAACAATTACTATTGAACAATATCAATGATCATGCTTGATATCCTCCTGCTTTGTGGGTGGGCCGAAGTGTTAAACATTGAGCCTTTGCCCAATAATTTCATTCTGATGACCCATTATATAGGGGTGTCATTTGACCTGTCATTTTGAATGGTTACCAATAAAGCTTGATTGTGCATTATGCAAAGTGAAAGCAATGGCTGCCGGCCTTCATATAGCTCCAAGAAATCCCCCAAAGGAAATGATATTTGCAAAATAAAAAAAATGTGGTCCATATAGTACATGGTCATCAGATTTATCACAATCTATAAACTATGCCATGAGAGAACAAAAGTTCATCAAAAGCAGCTGATGAATTTTCATTAGAGAATTGGAATCATATTGGTTAAAGCGCCTTTAGATCCAAACCCCTGAAAAGAAAAACAAGCATTCGTGAGATGATAATAGGATGAATCTCGTCTTTGTGACATAAGAAAGGAAACGATAAATAAGAAATTGTGACTAATGCATTCTCAAGCCCTGGCTTAGAATTGGGTTACTTATTATAGAAGACGTGGAGTCCATTTTCTGTATTATTAACTGTAACGACCCAAATCTGCCGCTAACAGATATTGTTCTCTTTTGGGTTTTCCCTCAGTGTTTTGCTAGGGAGAGGTTTCGACACCCTTATAAGAAATGTTTTGTTCCGCTCTCCAACTAATGTGGGATCTCACAATTCACCCCTTCGAAGTCCAGCATCCTTACTGATCGTTCCTCTCTCTAATTGATGTGGAATCTCATATTAACTATAGGCTTTGGGATTGAACTCAAGATTAAAAATCAGAAACTTGCATTATGTTAGAATTCTATTGTTTCACTTACTAACCCACCTGTCATCCATTTACTATGGTTGGTTAAGAGCAACTACAAGTTCAGAGCTCAGATATGTAAGGTTTTCCCAACAAAATTGTCAATAAAAGATCGAACTAATAGGAGCTTACCTCAACAAAATTAATAGGAGCAACTACAAAATTGTCAACAAAATTAATAGGAGCTTACCTCAACAAGTCAATAAAAGATCGAACTAGATCTGTTACTCATGCATGCCGCCGTCTTTTCGGACCATCTTCAGAGTATAGCTCCCAATCGTTATGATCAAGAGGGCTCAAGTCGTCGAGTTCCGCAATGGCAAGCAAGTACTGAGTGAGCTTCATAAGCTCTTGGTCACTATCACGATTAGCATGAGCTTTCCTGAATGGCCTAATTACCAGGCCATTTTGTGGGTTCATTACAAAGTTTCTCCGAAGATCATCAAACATTATAGTATTTCTCGAACTATAAAACTGCAAATTCCCAATCAAAATAAAATTTATTACAAAGTTTCACAGAAACAATCATATTCTAAAAGATAGATTTGGACGTAAATTGAAATCATCGCATACCTCTGGAAACTGTGCCCAAATCAAGCCTAGTGGCTTGCAATCAAAGGTCCCACGAGAATCTGACTGAACTGTGATCATAGCTAAATGGTCTAGAAGGGCAGTGATTTTGTAGTTTGGATTACTGAGAACGCCAAGCTGGCCCATCTTTAATTCAACCCACTTAAGGCTGCCAAAGGAAAGGTACAATAGATAAAAGAACAAGAGGTTCACATATCCGAAAATTTCCAAGAAATTGATAACATCTACTTCACTGGCAGCAAGCATGATTATAACACATGCACTTGTTAGTTATGGAATATCTACTGTTTGTGTCAAGGGCACGATGGAACATAAAGACTAAGAAATAATGAGTGGAACAATTGTTGTGAGATCCCATATCGGTTGGAGAGGAGAACGAAACATCATTTATAAGAGTGTGGAAATCTCTTCCTGACAAACGTGTTTTAAAAACCTTGAGGGGAAGCTTGAAAGGGAATGCCTAAAAAGGACAATATTTGCTAGCGGTGGACTTGAGCTTTTACAATTGTATGGGAGGGCCTATACAAGATTCTCAAATCTTTCTAAGAACTTGGAAATCTCTTAAATAGAGTTTTGCTCCAATCCAAAACAGAAGATTTTGCAAACCTTATCCGCATGCAATTCCTTACCAATACCCAACATTTCATTAACTTCCTTGCTCACGCCCATGCATCCCTAACTGATGTCATTAAAATAGAAGCCCAAAAGGTCCTAATGTCACATGCAGCTTTATATTCCTATCAAGGTGTGTCTATGACTCTGTTGATTTACACTGTCCAGACAATTTTAAATCTAAATCATTTGTTTCTATTGCAAATTCATTTATTCATTTACGTTATTTCAACTTTTTCCAAAGGTTGAAGATGTTTGCAACTCTGTTAGGGTAGTGAATACCGCTCTCATATAAAGGAGGAATAATAAAAGAAATGAGGGCATAAAAAGCAGCAGGCATAACTTGTTCATAATACTTGGAAATGGAAACTGACCTGGTTGCTGACCATATCATGATATCATATTCAGCGTAAGCAGCAGTCAGAAATTCATGAAGATCTGCACTAGAAAAACTAAGAACTTAAAAAGAATGAAAAAAAAGAAGGGAAAAACATGTGCACAGACAATAACGAATCGAAGTGAAAAAATAGCTACAGATAGAACATACAAGGCCGCATGAGTTGAAGAGGATTTTCTGCAGGAGAGCGATGATCAAAAAGTGTATAATCAATGTCCAGAACAAGTAATTTCTTTCCTTCACGGCATGGATTGCGAAGTTCTATCTACGATCCAACAAAAGCGGGAGAAACATTTGTAGTTAATCAAGATGACTATTTATAAGAGTTTTCAGATGATAATAACTCAAACGTAAATCATTCTGTGAGTAATAAACAAAACTTCATTGTATGCATCTAAATCCAGTCCGCCACATTGATATATCATCAACTAAAACTCTTTGACATGCATAGTTAACTAAGTGATTTAAGGAAAAAGAGAAATCAACAACACCACTAGAGAAAACCAATAGGAATCAACAGCAACACCACTAAAGAAAGCCAACCAGTAATTTCACAGAGACGAAGATGTAAAACTATGAAAATGTCAGCATTTAAACACACACACTACCTCATGATACCTATAACCAAAATTCCTTTTTAACAAGTCATATTTCATTATACGAACTTCAAAGGATACATAACTTCATAATAACTTTTCAGGTACTTGAACTTTCAGATTCATTTAGAACAACTAAAGTTGCTGAACATCATTCAACAAGAAAAGAAACAACTCACCTTGTATTGACCAATACGCCTTCTCAGTTTCTGCTTATTGACATCCTTGTCCTTAATGTCAATGACTTCATCTTTCCCAAGTTCGAAATCGTCAATAATTTCAGGAGAGTCCACTTGATCCACAATTATATCATCTTCAACAGTTCTGGTATCTCGATTTGTAACATTGAATTCAATCGGTAACTTTTAAAATAAGAATATGCAAATGCAATTAATAAACATGGAACTGCAGAAAGAGAACCTTTCCAGTTCTTTCATCTAAAAGGTGTAGTTTAGCGTTCAGCAACCAGAACTTACACCCAGATTTGAGCGATTCCATATAGGTTTCAAAAGCAACGCAGTCCAGTATCGAATCGTTGATTTCTCAAATAAAAGAATCGAATTCATAACCTTTTTTGCAAATAAAACGAACAATAAAGGGAAGAAATAGGGTAAAAATGCTCCGAAAGAAGGAAACTCAATTGATGCAGTTCAAATTAGAGGGCAACAGCAGAGGAGTTGAAGGATAGAGAGTCGAACCCGATCATGGTCATCTTGAGAGATGACTTGAGGGGAAGCTGAGAGAGCAAAAGCGAATCATCGGCTAGTTTGGATCCGACTTTGGGATAAAGAAGCTTTTGGCGCTTGGGCAAGACGTTAGTAAGCTCGCAGATTCGACGCTTCAGCTCAGCCACAGAGTCATCACCGCAGACTCGTACAGTGTACTCCTTACCGCTCCATTTCACAGTCAGTGTTATCTCTTCCCCCAAAGGAGACGAGGTGGACGCTGAGGCAGCCATTGTCGAATTCCCAACTTCGAAGCTTTCTTCCTCGCTCCCAACCAAAACCTCTCCACTCAATGAACCTCTCGATCAAATGAAATCGAATTGAAACTGTAGCACGTTTAGTATCAATTTGTTTTCCCTCTTACAACAATGCTTTTGGGTGGGCCGTTGATAACAATATCGATCAAATAAAAGCAAATAATCCTCCCTATCGCCTCAAAATCACATTTTTACATCAACCCAAATCGATCAAAAAAACCTCTCCTAGCCCATTGGATTTTAATTCAAATTTGCCCAATAATCTCACACTAGCATGACTTGTTTCCACTGCTAGTAGATATTATCTGTTTTGGCTCGTTACGTATCGATCAGTTTCACAATTTTAAAATGCATTTATTTGAGAGAGATTTTCATTCAATTATAAGGAATATCTGTTTTGGCTCGTTACGTATCGTTGTTAGTTTCACAATTTTAAAACGCAGAGGTTTCCATTCAATTATAAGCAATAATTTATTCCCCTTTCCAACGGATGTGAGATCTCACAATTCACTCCCCTTGAGGGTCCAACATCCTCGCGCGGCAGACCGCTCAATGTCTGGCTCTGATATCGATATTATCCACTTTGGTTCGTTTTTTCCCTCTTCAACCAATGTGAGATCTCACAATCCACTCCCCTTGGGGGTCCAACATCCTCGCGCAGCACACCGCTCAATGTCTCAATCCACTCCCCTTGGGGGCCAACATCCTCGCTGGCACACCGCTAGTATATGACTCTTATACCATTTGTTACAAACCAAGCCTTGTCCACTTTGATTCGTTACATATTGCCGCCAACCTCATTTACTCAGATGTCATAGACAATATATTGTTTACTCAAATGTCATAAAAATGTTTCGTTTCCCTCTCCAACCAATGTAAGATCTCACAATTCATGTGCCCTCTATTTATTCGGATGTCAAAGACAACATAAAGTTTAGCTTTTGTTTCTAACATTAGCATGTATTCCACAAAATTGTGAATTATATTACATATCTTTCGAAGTTGTTAAAAATGAAGCCTTTAAGTCTAAGAGTACTTAATATAATTCTAAAGGTTGATCAGAGTTCAAAATATAGGTTATATTATGGTCGTAGAAGTGGAACATTGAAATGCTTCAACCCACCAACACAAAGGTATTCAAAAGGAATCATAACTTCTATCTGAAATGGAATCACTACCAGAAATGTGAGCTAAAATGGAGAAGAAAAAAGGGGAATCATGAAGGGGCAAAAGAAGTTACATACAGGCAGCCCCTTTCTACAGACTTAATCTTCATACTCTGTTTCCTCATCATCATCTTCGTTTTCAGCATATCCCCAGCCCTCCACATTCTCACGGTCCTCCTCAGTTTCTTCACTATCTTCTTCTTCTTCTTCGTAGTTTTCTTCTTTAACCCGCCATGATTTTTTAACTGCAGCACTCATTGGGGCAGGAGATGGCGTTGCGCCTTTTCGCTGTGCTACTTTCGAAGGCGGTAACTTCAAGTTTGGTTTAGGCCTGTTCCGTTTCTGGTTTTTTACATTTACCCGCTTTCCGCCATAGCCATCTTGATCACTGGCTTCTATCTCATTTTCCCCATTATGTGGAGCATTGCCATTGTCTTCTACAAAATGTCCAGGGTGTTCCCTTTTCAAATGGAGTTTAAGCTTGTATTCATGGATGTAAGCCTTTTCACACCCTTCATAGGGGCAAGCGTGTGGACGGTCTGATGATGCCGAAGCAGAAGCTCCTCCAGAAGGTTTAGAAGCCTTAGTTTGCTTCTCGAAAGGTGGGGTATATTTGACCACTTCAGCTGTCGCATTCTATAAAGATGACAATTATTTGAGTGTAAAAATAACAATCTACCTAGATTGACTGCTCAACTTAAAGATTACTTTGTCATAAACAAGAGTAAGGCTCGTATTAATATTTAACACATTCAAGAATACCTTTATATAAGATCAGGGTATCCTTGGAAGATAGCATTAAGCAAAAAATATAAGAACGAAAATGAAAGTACACGAGATATAAAGCAATGCACTTAACACAAGTTGTTACCTTTTCATGGTGAGATGTAACGTGGTTCTTCAATTTGTACTCGTGTGCAAATCTCTTTCCACAATCAGGGAATGGACAGATATGATAGTTTTCTTGTGAATGCGTTTTCATATGTGATCTCAAGTTGAAATCCAGGGAAAATGCCTACAGAAAAACATCTAAAATGTGAGTGTCGAGAGGTTTGCACTTCACGTGTAAAGAAATAAGCTACATGCACGCGAAGTACAGAATTATCTTGCATGCCGAACTGATTCTCTCGTAACGCACAAGCTATCGTAAACAAAGCACAAACTAGTGACCGAATAGATGCTTGAACACAAGGAATAAATGTTCAGGACTGGACACTCTATGATAGGTCCTAATACTGACAACGAGAAACCTGATGTGATACAATTTCCAGTAAGCAACAAGTGCTGTTTCAGCACAATCACAACATATTCCAGAGATTTGTTGAAATCATAGAATTCCAAATGATAGTATGGCATTTACACAATCCAAAGAGAAGAGGCATCTCTAACAAAAACCAACTTAATATGAAAATTAATCTCATTCCCAAGTGGGAAATATATGAAGTTATTATCATGTAATTAATAGTGAGACATATTTCTGCATTGCAAAAGAAAACTAATCAGATGTGGGTCAAATTCTCGAGTCAGTTTAGAAATGCATACAGCTGCCTTTAATATAGAAAGATTTAAAATTAACATACAGTTGTTGCCTGAAGAATTATTTTCACAATGGAGCGATTGATCACCTTACCACAGCCTTCATGAGGACACACAAAATCTCTTTCACCAGTATGAATAAGGAAGTGTCTTTTCAACTTCGAGCTATCCAAAAATTTCTGCAAAAAAGATATATTTTTTGGTGTGAGCATACAACTTGACAAATAAGGAGAGAATAATTAATAAGAATATGAGAACAAATTCACGTGAGAAACTTTCATGATGAATAATAATAAGTCGCCTTATAGATGGGAGGGGAAAACTAGAAGTAGTGTATACTCACTTCAACTTAATATGAAGGGAGTTCACCAAATATGGTGATATTGATGTCCTACCTCTCTTGAGAACTTATCTAGTGGTTATTTCTTTCATTACTTAGTGGACCCCTTCCTTTTTAGGGAGTCTGTTTTCTTGACTCTTTGGAAGGTGAAAATCTCAAAACCGGTGGTGTTCCTTGTCTGGCAAGTTATTCAAGGAAGAAAAATACCTTGGGTAGGCTCTCGAGGAAGTTGACGTCCTTGGTTGGGCCTTTCTGTTGTATCCATTATCGGAGCTAGGAGGAAGATCTAGATCATTTATTTTGGAGTTGTGATTGTGCTCGCATGGTTTGGAACTACTACTTTGGAGTGTTTGGCCTTCAGTTAGTCCATCATAGAGCTTTTAGTAATATGACCGAAGACTTCCTCCATCCGTTTTTTAGGGGAAAGGAAGTTTTCTTATGGAAAGTTTTGATGTGTGCTTTGTTGTGGGATAATTGGTTGGGCAACTCTGCTGTATCCTTTGTCAGAGGGCGGAGGAAGATCTGAACATTTATTTTGGAGTTGTGATTATACTCGTTTGGTTTGGAACTACTTATTTGGAGTGTTTAACTTTCAATTAGCCCGTCACATAGCTTTTAGTGATATGATTGAGGAGTTCCTCCTCCACCTGCCTTTTATGGGGGAAGAAAGTTTTGGTAACGAGTCCCTTTTGTAATTATTCGTTAGGTCTCATTCTGTTAGATTGGAGGCCCGCCATCTACGGTGCCCCCTTTTGTGGGCTTTGTTTTGTTTTTTTTTTTTTTTTTTTTTTTTTTTGTTATTTTTTTTTTTTTTGTATACCCTTGTATTCTTTCCTTTTTTATCTCAATGAATGTTGATCTTTACAAAATATATATTATATATATGTTCGTATTTGTTATTCTCTAGCATACGAAGTTCTATCACGAAAATCAGAAGAAAAAAAAATACCATTCCTAAATATGGAAAGAGAAGGATGAGTTAAACTAAATACTCATTTGATAAATGGCTGATTAATCCACAATAATAAAAACTCAAGCTACTTCGACCATGGAATTTTATAGAAATGTCCTAGTTCAGTTCTAACATATCTCAAAAGAAAACACAGGACAGTACCTTTCCACAGCCATCGTAGTGACAAACATATTGCCTCTCCCCATGAATGTGAGAATGCTTCCTCAAAGCACCTGCATCAATAAATGTTTTTCCACAGCCCTCATAGCTACAAAGGAAAAGCACTTCAGTGGTGGGTTCTGGTTCAGGTTCTGGTGCTTCCGACTGTTTTGACTTCTCCTTTAGTGCCTTCAATGTATCCTCTAAGCAAAAACAAGAGGAAAAAAAAACCTTTGAGCAAGTATAAACAAATAAAAATAGAAAAGGCCGAACCATGGACCTAATTGAAGTAAGTTTTCAGAGCTTATTTTATTTCCTCCACATGTGGAGTGAAGTACAGGTAGTGGATGAAAGGAAGGGGGAAAACCACTTTATGATATCATCAAATAATCAAAATAATAATACATCAGCCATCCAATCAAAAGTACTGTCCGAGATTTATAAACCTAAGATACAACACTCAATAGCTTTCTATTTGTTAAAGAAAGGTCTTATGGTTTTGGTATCCATAAGCAGACATTTAACATACTAAATCATAGTCCTTTCTATCCACCAACCGCAAAATTCCTTCCTCTAAACAATCGATGATCAGAAATTTACGAATCAAGTTAGAAAGCAGCACCAAAATAAAACGAACATAAAAGCCTTGAACCACTATGGTGAACACCTTAAGCTCACGTTTATGTTTCTAAACAACATTAATTCAACGAAAGAAAATATTCAGCAATATAGTAATGAAATAAATAGTACCTGTAACCCATTTGAAAAGAAAGCACTTTCCTCCAGTTGCAACAACATCTTGGGGGACCCTAAAAGGTAGCAACTAGCATCATTAAGGCAAGGATACAATACGTTACAATTCTTTCACATTTGACAGTATTTTCTTTATTCTGACAAGAACAAAAGAATCAGCATGCATGGTTAGAATTCTAAA